TGCAACCGCAATTCTCGGCTGACTTCCTTGAATTGGGAGACAAGCTATTTCACTCGTGATTGGAGGCTAGCAATAGGAGGAAGCCTCTCTGCAGAAACTGCAGTTTGGCAGTTTTGCAACCGCAATTCTCGGCTGACTTCCTTGAATTGGGAGACAAGCTATTTCACTCGTGATTGGAGGCTAGCAATAGGAGGAAGCCTCTCTGCAGAAACTGCAGTTTGGCAGTTTTGCAACCGCAATTCTCGGCTGACTTCCTTGAATAAGACGCCCTTCAGTTTTTAGGGTAAGGATTTTAGAAAAAAGTATCGTCTTATAGTCGGAAAAATACGGTACATTCAGTTTGAATTTTGCAGAGTAAGACATTCACTTATTTTTTTATTTTCCAACATCTTTACGCCCTTCAGTTTTTAGGGTAAGGATTTTAGAAAAAAGTATCGTCTTATAGTCGGAAAAATACGGTACATTCAGTTTGAATTTTGCAGAGTAAGACATTCACTTATTTTTTTATTTTCCAACATCTTTATGGGCTCAGAATGCTCTGACATTACTGGTCCCTGTCGCATCTGCGCACTGCCTACATGCTCTCCGCCTCCAACAGGATGTGTTCCAATTGGTTTGTTCAGCATCAGCTGACGTCAGTTACATAAGGCTTGTGATTGGACGAAGCCTGTTTGCAGAGATAAAATATGGGCAGTTTCGCAACTGCACGGTTCTCTCCTCGGCTTACTTCCTTGCATGAGATGCCCTTCAATTTTTAGTGTAACGATTTTAGAAAAAAGTATTGTCTTATACACAGAAAAATACGATAATTGTTACATTTTGATACAGAGATTCTGGGGTGTTCCCTATTTTCTCTTCGAACGTTCACCACGTCTTATGAGGTAACAGCTTTTTAGTCTAAAACGGGTTGGCAAACTACCGCCCACAGGCCAAATTCAGGCTACTACCTGTTTTTGTATGGCCCACAAGCTAAGAATGAGTGGGTGGGAGATCACCAGGCCTGAGCCTCGGCTGAGCTCCCTGTGTGCAGAGGGGCATCCTGGATGGCAGCCTGTAAATGGCAGGCTGGTGCCACCCAATGGCTGCCATGTTCCTTGGCCTGCCAGCTGTGCCCACAGAGGAGAGGCAGGGCCTAGCTCCTTACAGAAAGAGTCTGCTGACCCCAGTCTAAAACACAGTTAAAACCTGGAGCTTCTAATTACAACTAGCTATCTCAACAGAAATAACCAAAACCAAGGGATGAACCATCCTATAGGGATGAACTTTACCCCATCAAGGGCCTCTCATTAGAAATTCTGACCTGTCATATATAGCTAGAAAGTGCCATGCAAGAAGAATCCAAACCATTGAATTCTCTGACTTGCAGGCTTTAAGTTGCCTTCAGCAAGATTGTTTATGTCTCATTTGCAAAGGAAAAGCTGGTTTTTGTAGTAGGATATTCTGAATGCTCAGAACTGCTCTTTCAGGAATGGCTGCCCTGTCACCCAAGGGCCTAACTCAGGCTGCTTCCATATTAAGCTTTTAACATGGATATGTATCTCACTTGCTTTTTATGGAGTATCCTTATTACTTCACTTTCCTGAGTTTTTCTTCAGCTTCTTACACCTTGTATCACATCAATAGAAAACCAAGTTTATTTGCGAGAGAAAAATGCTGCTCTTTTGTCTCTAAGAGGTATAATTTCCCCTTTTGCAACAACTTATCAGGTAGGGAAACCTATCCTCACTCAGCACACTTTCACTGTGACTTTTATTGGTGTTCTGTCATTTGTTTTTTTCGAATTTTTATCTCTAATTATAGCTATTTATTGCATTTTGATGAAAAAAAAATTACATTACAATGCTATAATACTAATTTAAATTATTTTTAAACACCCTTTGCTTTCTAATCATTATGTTTAGCATTGTGCTTTATTTCTAATTAAGATTTCTCATTACACTGCCAGACCAAAACAAATATAACTGTCCATAAAATATTAGTTTTTAAAAGTCATCAGGCAGCCATACTTGTGTACTTAAAAGCATTTGCATGGATAGTGAATTGGATATTTGTCCCCAAAGCAAATTTACTGGTGCTGATGAAAACTTTGCAAGTTTTACAAGTAGAAAAAGCACGAATTCTGCAATAATATAAAATGGAAATGGAATTCTGCTACAGATCTGCAGAGAAAGTACTATGACAATTGCTTCTTAGAGGTACCTGCTGCTTCCACTTTCAGGGTTCTGTCATGCACTAGGCAAAGTCATAATCTGGCTGTCTTGCCTCTGGTTTGATAAGCTGTATAAAACTCATCATTGTGCTTTATAAATTATGGTTTATGTCTTGGATCTTCAGTGTGATGCCCACATATCTCACTGTGCCTGTGGACACATCTGTTGGCACCTGCCAGGCTTCGTATCCAACTATACTTTGTTTCAATTTTAAAATATTTTTACAGCTTGGGGAGGGGTGCCTTTGAGTCATTGTTGACTCCTGGCAACTGCCTGGACAAGTCCCTGCAGTTTTCTTGGCAAGTTTTTTCGGAAGTGGTTTGCCATTGCCTGCTTTCTAGGACTGAAAGAGAACAGCCGGCCCAAGGTCTCCCAGCTGGCTTTGTGCCCAAGGAAGGACTAAAACTCATGGTCTCCTGGTTTCCAGCCCAGTGCCTTAACCACTACACCATACTAGTTCTCATTTTTACAATATCATACTGGAAGTTGAAAACATATTTTAAAAAATCAGTGTTCAATTCCCAGTCTCCAAAACATTACACACTCCCAGTTTAGTGTAATCCTGTTATTTATTCAACAAGTCAATGTTAAGTTAGCCTAGTATAATGTAGGAACATAGCCTTCTCCATACTTTCCTCATGGTTTTAACAATGGTTTTTACACCCTGGTTCACAAACCGATGCCAGGCCACACAACATGCTTTCAGGCAGTCTGCAAGTACATGACAGAAATCAAAACAATCATAATATTTCCAGGCCATATGTAAAATCCCATTCCTTCTGTAATGTTACCCATTGTTTTTGATGTGTTTAAATAACTTTTGTCATGCATTTTAGCTAAAAAGATCCCCATAGGGCTTACAAATATCAACATTCTTTGACCTCTAAAAGAAAAAAAGAGATAGGGAGGAGAAAGAAAAGCAAGCATAGGTACCTGTTCTTAAAGCTGCACTCTTACGGTTACATACTGGCACGGGAACAATTTCGGTAGCCCAGTGGAATATGTGCCCTTCAGGAGAGCCAAAAGGAGCTGGTGTCTAGAAGAGGCAACAGAGCAGTGTGGATTTTCTTCTCTCCACTGTTCTGCTATCTCCTGCAATGGTTGCTAGTTAGATGATAATTGAATCTACTGAACTTTTAGGTAATCCAGTCTTTTCAAAAGGAACTTTCAGAACAGTTCTGTCATCTAGTAGGTTAAATATTTCACCTTCCCAAACCAAATGGTTCCTGATCTTAAAATGGCTTTTTAAAAAAGGAATTTCAAACATCCAGGATGAAATTACTGAATGAAGACTAGACAAAGCTGAATTCTGTTCCCTTATCATAAATTCAGATTATATGCTTTTAAATCATTTTACAGAGTGGTAACTGTCTTTAACAGTGCAAGAATAGTTAACTCATCAAAAGACACATGTATCTAGATTTTCTGGTATTTTTTTATCTGACCTCACCGCTATTTTTTCTTCTCCCTACACTCATGTGTATATAAACTACACACACACATCTGCCAACTCAAGGTGACATTCCATGCATTTAATGAAATGGTGTCTAATCTATGAAAATGTACATATCTATATTAGTCTTAAAAGATGTATGTTATTTTTGATATAACAGCATCCTATGGTTAAGAAACAGGAAGATGGTGCTGAAATATTTGTCACCTCTGGATGCTACCATTCCTTCAGGTCTATTAAATCTGCTCCTACCTTTAACTGCCTACTTTTCTTTAGGTTACTTAAGGTTATTATATCAAACTATGTGCATTGGACAGGGCAGGGGAGGAGGATCCTTTGACAATCAGTATTTGTGCATGCTGGTATCAAAAAGGAGTTTTAGAGCATCATATTCCACCAAATGGATTTTTCCAAGAGCCTGGCATGTGTGAGAGTGTCTGTGAATATTTTTGATGATCTAACACACTTTTGAAAGTTAATTATAAATTACTTATTGAAGTCATTCTTATACCATCTTTCCCAAAGTTAGCTATCCAGTTATAATTGAATAAGAATTGAACTGCCCAACATGACATGCCAACCATAACACAGAAGATCAACCATGAATTGCTGCATATTAACAACTTAAGCAAAGTATTTGCTGCTGTTGTAAACCTGGGATACCCAAAAGCAAAGAAAACCATAGTACAATGTCTGTCCTAAAGAACATTTGGCAAATGATGTCCACAAAATAATATTGTGACAAGAGCTGGGAATAATGTCAATTCCCCCCATTGACACAGTAGGTGTCATTTAAGATGTGCTAAGTGATACTTTGTGCAGCGCAACACATTCTATGTAGCATTCAAAAGTAAAAATAAAGAAGAATAAGGCAATAACATTTTTGTCAAACTATTTGTGAGCACAGAAAAGGGGGCATCCCCATAAAAGAAGAAAATATACATTAAGCATTATAAAGATCCCCCCAAATATTTCTAAACCATATTCCAGACTTCCATTATGATAATGCTGCTTAGGGATGATGGAATCTTAGTTCAAAGTATAGGGCACCACAGGAACAGGAAGGCTTAGACAAACAATCAAATTTCCAGGTAGGGTTCTAGTCTGCTCTACAAATGGGTTGTTTTTTAAGCTGGGAATTATGCCTGTTATTAGTGTTTCAACACACTGAAAGTATCAGGATTAGGAAAGCCATCTTAGCTAAACAAAAGAGAATTAGCAAAGTTATAATGGGTCTGCTTTCTTACCACAGCATAGGCCAAAGCTTAACTGCCTGTTAATTTCTATAAGATCAAAAAAGTATGCATACAGTAGTTTTTTTTCTTTATATTTTACAGGATGAGGTGAAACTGCCATCCAAGCTGAGCATAAGTAAATCTGTGAAAGAAATGGAGAAAGAGCAAGAAGATGAAGAGGTCCTAGCTGGTGAGGAGCACCCTGGAGAGGAACATATTGAGCTCTCCTCAGATGAAGAGGTAGAGGTTGAAGAGATTATTGAGGAATCGCGAGCAGAACGTATCAAGAGAAGCGGTATGAGGAAGGTTGATGACTTCAAGAAGGCATTCTCTAAGGAGAAGATGGAGAAGACCAAGTTGAAAACTAGAGAGAACCTAGAGAAAACCAAGCTGAAAACCAAAGAGAACCTGGAGAAAACCAAGCAAAATTTGGAGAAGACCCGACATAACCTGGAGAAGAGAATGAACAAGCTGGGCACTAAGATAGTCACCACCGAACGCAGGGAGAAGATGAAGACCTCCCGAGATAAGCTGAAGAAGTCCTTCACCCCTGATCATGTAGTCTATGCACGCTCTAAAACAGCTGTCTATAAAGTACCACCTTTCACCTTTCATGTCAAGAAGATCCGTGAGGGAGAGGTGGAAGTAAAGGCCACAGAGATGGTGGAAGTTGGCGGAGATGAAACAGAGAACACGGATCTGCTGAGAGGTGAAAGCCCTGAGATGAGCACACTTCTGCAGATCACGGAAGAGTCAGACACAGTGCTGGCAGAGAAGAGTGACAGTGAGTGAGGCGGGTGGCAGTATAAAAGCATCAAATGCTGAATATGTAATCTTCCACATTTCCTCTTTTTGGCCTCACATGGGCATGCGCATGCACACATACACATAAACACACATACATACACAATATATACAGAAATTTTACAGCTCTCCCCCCTTCTCCAACATGTAGCTCCAAGGTGCATTTTTGTATATTTCTGATTCATCATATAGAACATGGAACATAATTATAATCCGTCAAAATACCATTCCTGCTACTAAAAGCTTGCTTTGCCAGCCTGTCATGGCAATGCCCCAACTTCCCGAAGGTGCTACCCATGAGGTAATCTATTTCTATGCACAAGAAGCATGCTGCCTCTTAACTATCCTCTGATGTCAAGAATGCTTCCTGGAGACCTGAAAGCAAACTTGTCCGACAGAAGACAAAGCAAAGGCACGGAAGCAAAGGAAGGAAAGAATTGGCTCAGTATGTCACAGAACCAGGGGATAACGAAGGAAACATGGAAATTACTGGCTTGAATTCAAAGATGTTGTGGTGTCATGTGATGATGCAAACATACAATCTGTGCACACTCCAATTTCCAAGAGATTATATGGAAAAAGTTGCATTTATATTATCAGTAAAAGTCAAGTGGTTGCCAGTACAACAGACAGGAAGAAGGAAGAGATATAAACAGGGTGCCCATAAACCATTTGCACTATTAGCTGCACAGATCTGTGAAGCTACTTTGCAACATGGTTGAAGTGGGGATATTTATCTGGGGATGAGGAATGGATGAAAGGAATATTGGACAAGTAGGGAGAGTCAAGGGGGAAAAAAGATGGCATAAGGACAGAGAGTGGACATGGCCTGTGACAGCTTTAGCTATAAACAATTAAGGGTTACCAACAACAGCAGCAACAAAACAGAGGAGGCACCAGCATCTATCCAGTTAGCAATCTTGACTTCCATTCCTGGGCTGGATCCAGAGAGCACTGCAGGGTTGTTTTCTGCCCATGCCAGGGCTCCAGCAGTAGGCCAGCTTTAACTAGCTGTGTAAACCTTGATTACATGCAGCTGTTTTTAACTATACTTGCAACATAGGGAGTTAAGGTGCAAGAATTCACTAATACAAGACAATTTGTTATGGGGAAAGGGATTCTCAGCTACCCTCCCTGAGCAACACACCACTCAAAATCACACACACATACACACAGACTTTCATACAGCTACCTCTTTGGCTTGCGGGGGACAGTTTTCAAGTGAGCCTGAAGCCTCGCTTTCCAATCACAAAAAAATGGCCTCCTTCCCCATTTTCTGACACATGTAACTATCCTTCCTTTGCATGATTTTGTGACTTACTCCACCCCCCGCCTGCCTGCCTGCCTTCCTCACATTCTTCTGGGATTTTCCCCAGCTTCTGTGTGTGGTCAAGGAGAAAATATTTGCAGCCAGAAATCCACCATATCATCTTGCCATTCTGCATCCAATACATCTACCACACCTGTACCAGAACTGCCTGTTCTAATATCTACAGAAATGGCTTGGCTGAACTATCCACACCCCAGCAGGAAGAAGTGTATGTGTGTAGGGGTGTTCTTACTTGACTGAGAAGTGTGCAAGCAAGTGGCTAGGAGTCGTCCCCTCTGCACTGCACTTTCCTCTGAGCCTTTCAGTTCTTGTCATGGATCTAGAAGAGAGAGCCCAGGATGTAAGATTTACTAGGCCTTCAAAACCATCACAGATGGGGTGGGGATCTTGCCTCACTCTGGGGACAATAAATATGTGGGGAAGAGGGTGCTGTGCCAAGCAGCCGCATTGCTCCTTTTTCTAAGACTGCATCCTGGTGAGCAGCATGACTAATAAACTTTCTTTTCTACATGGACAAGTGTAAAGTGTTTTGGGAAACAACGTTACACAGACTAGTGGGCCAGAACCAAGAACACTTTCACAACCACATGACATTGTTTTAAATGCACATAAACACCTCCCTTCTGTTCTTGAGGAAAGGTTCCTGAGGGCAAGAAATGGATTCAAATAGGAAATGAGATATAGATCCTTTTTCCACCTACAGGTAGAAATTGGAAATGAGTGAAAGAAGACCGCTTCTCCTGAGCCCTGTGTGCGTGTGGGTACTGTATGGGCAAGACAAGGCAATAGCTGCTCCTAGTTTTTAATCCTCCCCCACTGCCACTCCAAAGCAGGTGGCCACCTATTTACTCTCTCACCTTTTCTACTGAGGACCACATAATAGAGGTTGACCTGTGAAAGAGCAGTCACATCTTCTCATTGAGCTAAAGCCATTCCAGTGTTCTACACTGGGAAGTGGGGGAGGGAAGGGAGGTAGCAGCTGTCTTAATAGTAGCAGAAAGATTGGCCAAATGACTGTTCTCCTAACTCCCTCTCTCTAGGGCAGCCCTTCCCAACCTGGAACCCTGCAATGGGACAATTATTTCCTGTTGGCCTAGCTAAATGACATTGGTTGGGAATGCTGGGAGCAGTAGGGCCAATAAACTGGAATGCTCTGGTTTGGGGAAGGCTTTGCTCGTATGCCACATTTTTACTACTTAACACATCTCCCCAGCAAGAACCAAGAAGTCATAGGGGTTTTTTTCAAGTATGCTTTTTAAAAAAAAGAAAATATGTTGCCCCATGGCTAATCAGACAAAGCAGGAGACATCACTAGAACTAAGTACCTGCTCTTACTTAAGAACTTAAGAGTAGTTCCTGTTCAGGTGCAAGGTTTTAGGGAAAAGAGGGTTGGAAAGAGAAAGGAGTTGAGATGGTATTTTTTTATATAGTTCACACTGGCTGGCATGAATTTTCCTCACAAGTAATATGGCGCAAGTGATGGCTCAGCATCTTTTTCTCTAATCACTAAAGCAGCTTGACTCCAAGTTCTGGTGCCAGACACTGCTCCACATCCCTTTGTTCTGTACATTGGCAGTTGAAAGGAGGGAAAATGGAGATTAGCTAGACTTGATCCAAAAAGCCTGCTTTGTAGCCACAGAACATTGGAATGCCAGCTGGAAAAGAAAAACAAAATTGTGATGAGATGATGAAAAGGTATACAGGCTATCCTGTTTTATAGTGGGGAAAATAATATATTAAACATGTATGCCACCCGACTCTCAATGACTCTGGGGAGCTCAGAACAATCAAAGAAATTACAGTAAAACCAATAAAACACAAAAGATAATGATAGCAAGTGGAACAGACCAGATGGAATGAGGCAAGGGATCTCACTCTCCCTTGCCAACTCTTTAATCAAAGTGTTTATAGCCCACCCTTTGAACCCAAATGAATATCATTAGAATTTATTTTTAATTTATTTATCTACCACTCTTCTTGGGTAGCAACAGAAACTTCTGGTACCACTTTTTCCTGATGGCTAAGGCAAGAGAAATCTAAAGTGACCTTCCCTGGAGGAAAAAGTCAGTCTTAGCCTCTTTAATATACCATATTAAGCACAATCTCTTGTGCAAAAGAGAGAGTAGTTTGAACATTTGCAACATAGAGAAAAATATTCCAGACTTGCAGGTTTCTTTAACAATGACAATTATTTTATGCATGTGAAGGCTTTTGATTTCTTGAAAGCATTATAGAGATGTGTATAATTTTGATAGGATAATATTTAGCTTTCCCAAATACACATCCTTCCCAACAAATGGAAATTTAATGAAGAAAACTTTTTTAAAAGTTCCTGAAAGAATTCTGTATTTCCATTATGATAATTTTTAGCTAAGCATGTTAAAGGAAGTTAAAAAAAAAAAAAAGAACAGGCAGTATTATACAGAATCACCATGTAAATATATATAGTGTAAAATTCTCAACAGTAGAAATTACAAAGCAGAATTACAAAGCCTCCCCAAAGCATTTCCCCCTCTAATCTGGTGGAGGATACACATGAACACAGAAAACTATTGATACAGAATCAAACTACCGATTCATTTTTTCCCAATTATTTGGGGCAGATCCACACGTTCTGCTTGGCCCACTGCCAATAACAGCCTCCAGAAATGGATGACCTCCCACTCCCAACCCATCACAAACTCATCCTGTACCAGTGTTTTCCACCTTTGATTCCAAACGACCGTTTCCCAATACGAGCCATTTTAAGCCCTTTAGAGTAGTCTCCACTGCTTCATTCCATCTAGCAGCAGCCCCAGCCAATTGCCGCCTTGCCCCCTTCCCAGCAGTGGCTGGTTACTACCCTGGGCAGCCATTCCATCCTGGAATGCTGCTATGTTCTCCACTGGTTGTCATCTGTCTTTTGCTTTTTTTAAAAAAATACTCTTGCAGATGATCCAACAATGGCCCATTAAATCAAGGAACTATCTTCACCCGTAGATGCTTATGCACCACGCAACCTTTGTATTTCCCAGAGGCCACCAGACTGGTAAAGAATGCCCCCCCTAGATTTCCTACCCTGTCCACAATACTGTAATGCAAAGCTTCTCCTCTCTTTCCTTTTTTAAGTTGCAGTGTTGCTGCTTTATTTCCATTAAGTTGAACTATTAATCCAACTTTATTACAAAGTGTTCATGGGCCTATAGAAGATGTATAAGTGGAAGAACAACCTGTTCCCCTGTTGCATTGCTTACTGCAGCATCAGAGCAATGATGGTACCATGATGGGAAAAAAAGAAAGGGTCTACATCAGTGTTGAAAGAGAAGATGTGGGAAGAGGGATTGAGGCATCCACTTATGCAAACATCTGGGAAAGCAAAGAAAAGGCATGTGAACCAATGAGGAGGAAGCAATTTCTAAGAGGAGGAGGTAGGGACTGGTAGACCCATCCACATGGGTGAGAAGGACAGAGGAATGATCAATCAGGTCCTACCGTTGTCGTAGACCAGACTTGAGCACCAGCCCAGTCCCACTGCAATCCGGACAGGAATTTCTGAAGTTGGCTCAATAATCTGGAGCAGCAGGGGAGACGAGCAGCTTAGGCAGCAGTGCAGAATCACCCTTTGTCTAACTGGAACTGGCTTTGCAGGTTTCAGGAGCCTTTCCCTGCTCTCATAGGAGATAAACAGAAATTGAACCTGAGACTGTTTGGAAAGGATGCACCCTATCATTCTTGTCCAAGTAGATGTCTGGTATCTGTCTGCTTCCCCTTGCAGAGCCAATTCCATTTCATGATGGTGGAATTTCACATCAGGAAAATGGCACGGGGTGGGGGAAAGTTAAGTCTTCTCTTTGAATACAATCCGAATGGGGGAAATGTAAAAATTAGTTTTTAAAAAACTACAGGCATCTAATCATGGTATCATCCATCATTTTGTCTAGCTGTGCCATAAATTGAGCTTCAGACTTATAAACTAAGTCACATGTTGAAAATCTCACTCCTCGATACACAAAATTATACAGCAGCTAGCTGTATATGATTTAAATATTTAAGGAAGTAACCAATTATTCATTTCCTGTTGGATTCAATGTTTCTCAGATTCTTGAGAAAGGAGTCATTTTCCAATGAAAGTGCCTAAGGTGGATTTGCTTTCTGGCATCTTTTCACTCTTTCGGTAGCCCATTTCCCCTTTTTCCAAAAAGCAGTGTGATGTGAGTGGTTCCCTTATTTTGATGAGTTTTCCCACACTGTCATCAGGCAGACTGGAATAGCCCCCCTTCCGCCCCCACCCCCCTTATATCGAGGTCAACTCAGTCAGCTGCACAAGAGACTCCTCTGACCTTTGCATTTCAAAACGGCAACTTCTCTTTGGAGCAGAGGTAGGGAAAGTATAACTTTCTGTCTTCTAGTACAACTATTTGTGGGAATATCATTTATAAAGAAAGACCAGGAGAACCACATTAAATATCAGATAGCTTTATGCAGTAGAAAATAGGTAGGGAGGAAAAAAATGTGATGCTATTTATCTACCTAAAGCCTGCAGTGTGCCCTCCTCAATTATGAGAGAGCTTGAGTCAGGTAAGTACAGTATCTGAACAGCACAGTTCAGAGTTAGAAGAGAATGAGAACTGGACCGAGAAAGGAAGTGATGAAAGCCCCCAGAATAATAGTCTAACCAATAGGGGGCATCTTACAGACAGAAATGCAAAGTAAGTCTTTTAGACAATGAAAGAAAACAACAGTGCAGAAGCCCGCTGCTAACTTTCTCTACTTCTATTGCTCCTAGTGGTTAATAGGTTTATAAGTGCAGAAAGTCAGCATGCAAAGTTAAATTCCAACAGATCAGTAGTATCTTGCACAATGAAAAGCAATAGCAGTCATAATCAGCCCCTCTGGATCAGACTAAAAGCTAGTAATCCAAAAATGGCCAGATACCTTAGAGAGCATGAAAGCACCCTCCTGCTCATATTCTCTAGCAACTGGCATTCCAAAACACATATTGGTATTACTAAAGTAATATACAGCCATCATAATTATAAACAGTTAATAGCTTTAATGCTCCATAGCTCTGCACAGCATGAATAATTCCTTTACTCTATCTCAAATCTTCCATGATTTAGTTTATTGTTACATTTATTTTCCCAAAACCAAATTCACTTGGGAAACAGATAGCAGAGCTTATATGGACAACTCCCAAAAGCTATACCATAAAAGATAATCTAATTAAATGGAGGAAGAAAGGGAGAAAGGAAGATACAACTGAAAATAGACACTCATCTCATTGCAAAATTCTGGGTAATTTGCAGTAAATTGAAATGAGTTTGAGGTCTAATTAAGTATGGCAACATCTACAAAGCCCCACTTCCTGGAGAGAAAGCCAAGAGTAGATTTTGTATAAAAAGACTTAAGAGCTTCAATTTGCTACTAGTTACAAACAATTGGACTGATGTGCTCAAAAGCACCCATTCCTTAATACATATAGGAAACATACATCAGCCAGTATGGCATTTCAAGCAAGTACCCCTCTGTTAAATG